TCTACTCTACTTGCGGGGTAGCCGGGGTGGCACCCCTGGCTCCAGCCAGGGCTCGGCAGGGCCCAACCTGAAGTTCTGGGCCAGGAAGGGCTCTGCAGAGGAGGATCTGCCTGGGGACCGGGAGCCCCCATGCTGGCCACCCCTCCTGGCATTCTTGGCTTGCCTGCGGCCCTTCCTGGACTGCCTGGCGATTGCCCCCGGCCCCTCCAGCCAGGTAATGCCAACCTGTTGAGCTTTGCCAGTTCTGAAGAGCAGGACTGGAGGGACGTGGGGTGGGGTCCCAGAGAGGCTTTTCTGGGCTTAGCTGGCTGAGATATTTGCGTGTGGCAAGGGTGGGGCCAGGCTCTCTATTGCATGGGACCTATCCCTCTGTGGGCGGGGAGGGGGGGCAAAGTGGGCTGGAATATTGCATCGGAGTGAGGCAGGGGCCTGATTGTAAGTGCCAACCAGCCAGGATGGGCTTTCTGGGTGTGTCCTGCCAGATTGCAGACTCCAGGCCCCCTCAGAAGCCTGCAGAGATAAAGATCATACATCCCTCTGAATAGAAGCTGGTCACAGAAAAGAGTCAGGGGGGGCACCCCCTGTATCTGAAATATGCCTGGCGGCAGCTTGACCCTCACCAAACACAGCTGCTGCTTTGGAGACTGGCCGAAAGGGCTTTTCTTTGGTTGCTTCTTGCCTGCAATTGTTGCTCCCATGTCTGCTTTCCTTGAAGAAATCGGAAGCAGCTCATTGCTCACTCCCGATGTGAGTTTCCCATCTTTAGTTACGATCTGCTGTCCAGCCCAGTTCTAAAGAGCAGCTCACCAGGTGAGGCTGGTTGCTTTGCAGAGGATGGTGGGGTGTGCTTGTGGTCTTCTCCATTGGCTCCCTGACTCGCCTCCCCCCCCGCCCGCCCCCCCCCGGTCATCCTGCTTGAGCTCGGCCAGAGCGTTTCAGTCAATCTTGCAAGTGGCATTTGTTTGGGCGTTTCTCTTCCAGTGTTTGGCTGCCCCTCTGTGGTCTTCCTGTGTGGTCCTGCAGTAGCCGTGACTTCAACCTTCTGCCAGGCAGCTCAGAGGCTTGGTTTTGGTTGGACCCAGGTTGCTCTTGAGGTCTCATCTGGGCCTCATTGGGGTCAGCTTGACACAGGGATGGCAACACCAAAGTTCCCTCTGCAATTAATGTATTGAGTGGGTTGATTCCAGCTGCAGCTTTCTAGAATTGGAAATAAGGACCTCTCTGAATGGCAGTAAAATCCTTTCAGCACCAATGCAGGGTGTGCAACAACAAATGTTCTTGGCAACTAGTGCTAGCTGAGCAAAGGGGAACGGCAGTCCATACCGGTTGTGGTTTCCAATGGTTTTCTAGGGGACTTGAGCACGGAGGCATCTCCTTAGGCCAGGTGAACCTGAGGGGATCAGTTGCAGTTGTGAGATCCTGTGGTCCCTGGCAGGGCTACAGCTGGTGCACCAGCAACAGGGCAGCCCCAAAGGCTATTTTGGCCACAGGCAAATGCTGCCCGTGCAGCTGTGAGTTCGGGGGGCACCCCACCACTGCTCCCCGTTGTCTCGTTGAGAAGCGAAAGCTCTGCAGGCAAAGAGGACACCAAGGACTCCCATACATAAGAGCCCAGAGCTAGGCAAGAGCTTATTAACATCCTGGCGCAGGTCTTCATGCCCTGCCTTGAGGGTACAGGGTTGGAGTTACGGCATCTGTATTTTGGGAGAGAGACCGTTCTGCCATGACGGAGAAGTCAAATTTCCTGAGCCCATCAGGTAGCGAGGGGACCGGAGGAACCTTCTCATCTCTCACGTTATCCCAGTTGAGTAGAGAAAGGATGTTACGGACCTTGTCGATGAAAGAATTTTGACTGGCGGGCCCAGGGAGAGGACTTCCCTGCTGTTGCTTTTCTTGCCCTCTGGAATTACCTCCCTCTCAAGGTGAGGCCGCCCCTCCCCCTGGCCTTACGCAGGATTTGGAAGACCTGGCTCTGCCAACTGGCATGGGCCTCACTGAGCAGCGGGCAACCCTGGGGGGTGGTTGGCTGGGTGAAAAATATTTTGAGGACATGTTTGTACATTTGAATATCCTGCAAATGCAACAGTGTGTATTCATGATACCAGTGCAGGTAGTGCTTGAGTTACGAATGTAATGGAGTCTGCCAATTACATTCATAACTGGAGGATTTGTTGGAGCGAATCACGTAAAATGAATGTGAAAACTCCCTGCTTTCGTCCATGTATTCGCTAATCGAATGTGCGGATCGTTAAGTACACATGAGGTGTCTCAGAGTGAGGAAGGCCATGGGGGGGGGGGCGTTAGTGAATAAAAAGTCCACCTGCTTAAGACCACCCAAGGCTGCCTCTGATCCACTGAGATACCTCATGCTCCTCACAGTTGCTTCCCCTCCCCTTCCCAATCCTGCTGCACCGGGTCACTTACCTTGTGAAGATCTAGCGAGCCTCCAGAACCTTCCAGTCTTGGCACGCAGAACACCAAAAGGAGGCTTTGGGGCAGTGAAATCTGTTGGCAGACACTTCGGCAAAGCCTATGCCAGCAAGAACGGAACCCGGGAGGGACACACCAGCCCCTTGCGGGCTCTGTTCTTGCCAGCAAAGGCTTTTTGCAAAGATGACCGGAGCCTGTAGGGATACAATCTCTGTTCAGGCTTCCGCAGGGAAATGGCAAACAGAGGGAAGGCCTGAAGCTCAAAGCCTTTTGCCGCACATCTTGTCCAGGCCTCAGTTTGCAGAGAACAGAGGCCTAAAGTACTAAAGGCCTGAAGCAACAAAGCAGGCAAAGAAACCGTGGTAGAGAGGAGACAGATCTTACTATCTTTGCAAGGTAAGTGAGTCTCCACAGGGTGAGTGCCGGTGGAGACCTTGCCTGGCGGAGCGGGAGGAGGGCTAGGCGGCGGATGTTGCAGTGCCTCTGCGGTCATTCGAAAGGGTGAACGATCGCTATGGTACTGCAACATTCGTAACCTCGGGACTGTGTCGTAAGTACTTGGGGGGCTATGTCGCAACGTGGAAGAACTATCATAACTTGAGAATTACCTGTATTGCTTATCTGCAAACAGAAAAATAAAACATCTAAAAAATCCTTAACAAAAGTTAAGGAGCTATATGATAGCCAGACATCCTGCACTGGAAGGTTTTAAGGCTGCTGAGCTGGGATCTAATTTCCATTGTACGCCTGGCGCCCACTTGCTTCTCTGGGAAGCCTGTTGGGTGCCAGGCCAGAGGTGGTGAATAATTCTTCTTCTTCCATTTGAAGCCACAACAAGGTGATGCGCTTCTCCTGTTAAGGATGCCTGGTGAACCTGATCTAACATTTCTGTAATTTTCTTTATAGTACCGAGTTGCAGATTGTGGAAGGAGGAATTAATTATTCTTTAAATAATAAAGTTCTTCTGAATGAACAGTGATCAAGTTGATTACCTGGCTGTGCTTCATTTCTTCAGGAAATAAAGTAACACTGTTCAGTCTATGGAAACAGCTCCCTTATCCTGCAGGTCACAGAGGCTGCAGTGGCAGTCCTGATGGGGGCATTCGCCTTTGGGGTGCTTAATGGGGTGCTGATGAAGAAGAAGGAGTCTGTCCTGGGACCCATCTTGCCTGTTCTGCATTTTTATTAATGGCATAGATCAGCGGTCCCCAACCTTTCTGGCTCGGCAGACCGGCAGAGGCGATGGCGGGGCAGTGGGGTGGGAGAGGGGATGATTTTGCTCAGGCGTATGAACCACTTTCTCAAATGCAGCTCGGCACATGGCACTTGCCCACCCCTTCTTTTGCCCGGTTCCAAACGGGCTGCAGCCTGCCACTGGGCCCACGGGTTGGGGATACCTGGCATAGATTATCAAATTTGCAAGTAACACAAAACTAGGGAAATCTGGGCAGAGTTTAACAATTGGCTGAAATGAACAAAATGGGCAGGCAGAACTACAATATCTTACATCGGGGGTGGGGGGTGGGGAGAAAATAAGTGGAAACCTGGTTTGGCAATGGTTCATATGAACGGGCGTCCACAAATCAAATAAGGTTCTTAAATTTTTGGCCAAAGGGTATAATTCTTTTAAATTTTTAAATTTTGTATTGGATGTTTTTTACTTGGCTGTGCACCGCCCTGAGTCCGCTAGGAGAAGGGCGGTATACAAATTTAAATAAAATAAATAAATAAAATAAATAAATGAGTCAGCAGTGTGTGAAGATGCACCTGCTAACAGGCCAGGGCTCGGCTGGGATCCATTCACAAGAGCATAGAATCCACTCTCCTCACTCTCCTGGTCTGTCCTGGTCAGAACTTGTCTGGAAGGCTGGTCCTGGTCCTGGTCCTGGTCCTGGTCCTGGACACCAACACAATGGTGTAGCTTCCGAGGAGGCCAGGTGAACAACACTGGACCAAGCACTGGGAGGAACAGCTCAAGGCCCTGGGAAAGTCTGTCTTGCAGAAGATCAGACGTGGGGGTGAATGTGGTCTTCGGAGACCCAAAAGCTGAGGCTTCCTTTATGCCGAGAGCGGGGAGGTTCTCTGTTGCCCTGAGGGTTAGACCTAAGGACAGTTGGGTGAAATTGCAAGTCAGACACGAGGAAGGATTTCTTTTTGCTAGAAACTGCCAACAAGATTACCTTTTGAATAGTAGGTCTCCATTATGTGTCGTTCCCCCCCATCCCCACCCCCCCGGACCCAGACATTGACTGATCCTGCCTGGAGCAGGAGGTGGGGGGTCATTCCAACCCTGTCACTCCAGAGAGTTGCTGTGATTTTCTGGAGCAAAAACTAGAAGGGACCATTTGTGTCTGAGCCGGGGTGCTCTGCATACTGTGTCTTGGTTCCAAGAGGGTCAATCAAAATTCCATTTTGGCTCAGCGGGGCTCCCCTTGTCCGTTTCATGGGCAGGAGGAGTCAGGCACTTTTGGGCAAAGGAGGGGCCTGGAAGGAGCCCCTCCCCCAGGAGTTGGCTTTTGGGGCACGTACCTTGGGTCCCACCCTTGACTCCTTTTCATTGCTGCTTTTAGATGCCAGAAGCTGCTCTTCCTTCTCCTCCTCCTCCTCCTCCTCCTCCTCCTGTTGTCTCTGCTCTGCCAGTTCCTGCCGAGGCTTCACTCATCCCATCTTCCATCTCACAGGTTTTTATTCATTTAATGCCATTTGCATACTAATTGATGATGGGTGCTTCGTTTATGTGGCTGCATGCAGACTGGGCTCCTCAGCCTGGATGTTGCTGTGTGTCTGTGCTGCGCAAAAAGAGAAGCCATGCAGAGGGGGGGAAGACATTGAAGGGAGGGTTTTGTGTGTGTGTGTGTGTGTGTGTGTGGTCTTGTTCACCCCAAGAATCTACTGTATAGGTCGGCCTTGACTTACGACCACAATTGAGACCAGAATTTCTGTAATTGAGCAAGGAGGCTGTTAAGTGAGTCACCTTTTTTGCCATGGTTGTTAAGTGAATAACTGCAGCTGTTAAGTGACTCACATGGCTGTTAATAAATCTGACTTCCCCCATTGACTTTGCTTGCCAGAAGCCGGGATGCGGCAACTCTGGTAAATACGTGCCAGTTGCCAAGTGCCTGAATGTGACCATGGAGTCAACAGTTCAAAGGATGGTTGTAAGTCACTTTTTTCAGTGCCTTTCTAACTTTGAACAGTTGCTAAATTAATGGTTGTAAATTGAGGACTACCTGCATTTTGACTTCTAATTGGGGGGTGGGGTGGGGGGAAGGCATTAGGGAAATGATTTAAAGATGGACTGAAGCTGACTAGGCCTCCCTGCTTCCTGGGTAGCATTATCGCTGGATTCCCAGATCCCTCTGGATCACCAACTGTCCAATCCCCCCTTTTGTCTGGCTTTGCATGTTGGATGACCGCAGCTGGTGTCCTCTGGGTTGAGCTGTGGTTGAAGAATGTGGGGCTCGGGACCAGGTGGTCAGAATTTCTTTGGGGCAGCTTCCTGGTTACCTGGTTTGCATCTGTGCTGTCATGGAGTTTTGGGACCTTCAGCGCTTGGAGGCCACTTCTACTCCGTCTAGATCCAGTCCGACCCTCCTGCCCCACCACCTTCCCTCCCTCTCAGCCTCCCAAAGGTTTCCTAAGCTCAGTCCTTGCCTGGGCCTGAGTGCTTTCCATGCTGTTTTTCATGGTCCACATTAAAACAATTGCTTCTAAAATAGTGCTCGAAACGTTTGTTTGATTGACATGATGATACAGTATATATTTTGTTGTTTTTTCTAAGCACAGCCCGGTATGTTGTTGATAAAGGCTGTGAAATAAAATAAATGTGGGTTGCTTTTAGGCAGAGATCAGTGGGCAGAAGGCTCACCTTGTGTTTGTCACCAGGGCTCGGCCTTCCTGGCCAGGTGGGGATTGGGGTGGTGGGCAGGTAGAGAGTTCCTCGGCTTTTCTTGCACCCGTGCCAGAAAGATGCCCCAACTCAGCCTTATGTGAACACGAGTCCCTTCAGGCGGGGCAGAGACGAGCCCGCCAGGATCCCCTTCTGTGAAGCACTTGACGGATGGCCCCTCTGCTGGCGCAGCATTGGCTGAGGCAGCCTTGCAAGAAAGGGAGATGGCTCAGACAGCTTCCCATGGATTAGGCTAAGGTGGAGCAGGAGTCCTGACAGCGCTTGCATAAGCCAAATTTTAGGGTGTGTCATTTAATGGGGTGAAAATTAATTTTTGCAATTTTTTTCAGTGAGTTCTAAAAATATGTGTTTTTACATCAAGAATTTTGCCATTGCACAACGTTTAGCTTGGTACGGTAAATCCATGTCTGATCATATACCCCACAAAAGTCTCTTGTAACCCAAATACTGTTAACTTTCTCTTCTCAAAATTACACCTTGTGCTACAAAAATTAAATTCTTCTCTTCATGAATCTTATCTAGCTAAGCAAAAAATAATAATCCATGCAATCATAAACTAACATCAGAAAGCAATTATCTGAGTTACAAAAATGTGTAAACGAGTTTTATCAAGTCTTGTTTTGATTGTCCAAAGGTGCTTTTTCAAGAGGCAACTGATCTTCCAGTTGCCTCTTGAAAAAGCACCTTTGGGACAACCATGACCTGGATGACTGAGAATCTCCATAGGCATCTTATTTTGATTCCTTCTTCGACATCAGCCGCCGACTTGCTTCTTGGCCTCTGATATAACCCTCATGTTTCTCATGTGTCTACACTCTGCTTGCTGCCTCTGTGATCTGTTTCACATATCTCTCTATTGATTGATGAGCCTTGGTGACGCAGTGGTTGGAGTGCAGTCCTGCAGTCTATTTCTGCTGACTGCTGGCTGACTACAATTTGGCAGTTCAAATCTCACCAGGCTCAAGGTCGACTCAGCCTTCCATCCTTCTGAGGTTGTTAAAATGAGGACCCAGATTGTTGGGGGCAATATGCTGACTCTGTAAACCGCTTAGAGAGGGCTGTAAAAGCACTGTGAAGCGGTATATAAGTCTAAGGGCTATTGCTATTGGGCATGACAGGGCCACCGTGGTAATTGTGTTGGTTTGACAATGAACTTCTATATTTCCGCTGTAGTCAGTTTGCATGTCAAAGGTGGCTCATATACACCTTCAGACTAGTCAATCAGCTCCAGCAGAGTGGATTCTCTGGCATTGATTAAAGACATTTTTCTTGCACATAGAGAAAAATCTCCTAGCGCGTCGTCATCTGCGTCCCTCAAGTCAATGATTTTTTGCACACCAGCTCTCCTCTCTTGAATGTCATCTGAACACAAGACTGTCTGGATTATCATTTCACTGAAAGCATACCATGCTGAGCGCTGAATGGTTGGCAAAACAGCATCATCTACAGCCTTCTTTTGCAGTCTGACTTGCTGCAGCTGGAACAATGGATGGCACGGGCCTTCAATCCTAGGGATGTTTTACTTCAATGAAGATGCATTCTATTTCACCCTTCTTATAGAGCTCATCAAATTCTTGATCGATCTAGGGACTTCATAATATTTTCCTAGTCTCTCTTTACTTTATTGTGGTCAACTACAAGTCTCTTGTCTTCTTCGGTGATCAAGCCAGCATCTATGAAGGCGACTGTGGTAATGGCAGCTGTAGCATGTAGACCAACACCGTATCTTATGCTCTGTATAGCGGCATTTGTTATATCTAATCTATTGTATTCTCTTTTCTTTTGAAGTAGAGGGCACGTGTGTTTGGTCTAAGGCCTCTTCATAACTTCCATCACCTTCATCATCAGTCATTTGTCCTTCATTTTCAATTACTTCATTTGTCAGTATCGAAATGTCTGGAATACTTCTCTGCTTATATTTAGCAAGCCTTTGTCTCTCATCGTCTTGCTGCTTTTGCCTTTTGCCTAGTCGTTTCTGCTCAGGCACATCTGGCAAACCAATCTGGTGCGATCCAAAAGAACCAATCTTGTCTCTCTGACATTTAACGAAAGCAAGTTCCTTCAGTGGTATCTTCATCTCCTTAGGGCAGGTGAGCTTCCTTTTTGCAGCCAGCAGGACAGCCGAATATGGCACACAGAACAATTTGACACTTGCAGTTGAGGATGTCAAACAGTTTGACTCATTCCCATTGCTCAGGCCCTTTTGGATATATGTCTCATGCAAGACTGGCTGGTCGAAGGTAACACTGTCCCATTCTGTCCTGTTTAATCATGCCCCAACTAAGGACTCTGTGTGGCTTTGCCCTTGGAGAGAGGCGGAAGAAGATGGGTGTGTTTAGCCTTGAGAAAAGATGATGGACGGGGTGTGTCGTAGCCCTCTTCAAAGCCCCGAAAGCCTGCCTGGTTGGAGTGGGTCCTGGTGGGGAGGGAGGTCTCCTTCATGGCTGAGAGTCATGGGCCCAGGCCAGAGCCAGGCAGAGTCGGAGCATTCGGCAGGGGGGCAGATGAAGGGCTCGCCTTTGCTCAAAGGAGGATTCTTCCATGAAGATTCTGTGAAGAGCCCGGCCGAGGGCCTTGGGGGCCACAGTTAGCCATGCCTGCTGGGACCTGGGGGGCTGATCTGGGGGGCAATGGCAGGAAGCCTAATTGGGTATGACCTGAACTTGGCTGTGGTTTGTGACTTTCAGCACCCAAAATAAAATGTAAAGTTGGTGAATCTTTGTGATGTGGCAAACTCTGACATCTCTGAAGTTCTTTTTTGTTTTACTTTGGGCAGAGATTCCTGTGGGGAGGGCGAGGAGGGCAATGGGGTGGGGCTGCATGGCTGACCAGCCCAAGAGCTTGAGATGGAGGAGCTGCTACAGCATCGAAAGGGCCCAGGGGGTGGGGTATAAATTGGGAGGGTGGAGGATCAGACTTTTAATCTGCCTTTTGCATTTTTAATTTCAAGGCAAATCCCCCTCCAGTCGTGGTAAACACAGAAACTCCAGAGACACCAACTTACGTAAGTTTTTCTCATTGCCTGAATGCTCAAATCTTTCTGAATTCTCTGAGAAAAGACACCGGCTGGCTGTGGTGCCACCGCAGTTAAAGAGGGTAGAGCAAAGCCAGGATAATGGTGGCACCGGAGGGGAAGGAACCCTTGGATCTTGCCCTTGTTTATAGGTCCCCCATGAAGACGTGTGGAAGTGACGTGTGGGGGGTGGGGGGCAGGTCTCCGCAGGCTGAAGGTGTCAGACAGGGTGGGAGTCCCAGGAAGTGCCTTGGGAGTCTCTCGGCCCTCCCCACAGGGAGGCTGTGTGGGAGAACAAGCCCTGCGGAGGGTCCCTGGAAGGGCTGAATGAAAGGGGGAGGGGGGATGGAGGCCTGATAAATAAGATGAACCTCTTCAAGCTGGCTGGCTCACTAGATACGGTTTGAGCTGTCGGCTGATATTAGGGGAAAAAATCAGGGAAAGGAAGAGACTGACTTTGGATTCCTTGGTGTGTTCAGATGTCATGATGAATCCTGGTTGTGACAAAAACAAGCCCAGATGGATCTCTCTGGCTAAGAAACACATGAAAGGGTCCCATTAGCCAAATTTGCGCTATTCAGAGTGATAGTTCTATGACAGATAGGGTCACAGGTTCCAACTTGATGAAAATAGGCAACTAATTTTTTTTTTAGTTTATTAATGGTGTACTAGAGACCAGCAAAAGAGGCTGAGCCTCTATCTGGAGCCTAGCTGCTCCCCTTGGATTCGGCTGTTCAAAAGGAGGCACCTTTTTTCCTTCTTCTGAGCTTTCCTCAAACGGAGCTTCCCTTTTCTCCATTTTGCCCAAATGGCTATTAGCCTCTAAAATCCCAACGGCTACTATGCCTTCACCAGCCTCCACTGTGCATGAATTCTGGCTTGGGTCAAATGTGACCTCGTATCAATTTATAAACCGTATGAAACGGAATTTTGGCCTATTTGAACCTGTGCTAATCGCGATCGGCTGTTAGAGGATTGAAGCAGGTGCTGGTTCAGAAGGCCGGTGCTGCTTTTGCTGCCGTCAAAAGTTGTGTTGCTGAGATGGCTGCCAAGGCTTGTGCAGAGAGTGATCTCTGCACAAATTCATCTTGTGTGCCAGTTGCGCCCATTCTGGACTGGGACCAGTCTTGCTCATGCTCACTCGTGCCTCATCTTTGCCTGATGGACTGCTTCAGGGCACCCAACCTGGGGCTGCTCTTGAAGACCCTCTGGAGGCTGGAACTAGTCCAGAAGGCTACAGCGCAAGGAGTTCAGGTGCCCAGCAGCTCAGCCAGGATACAGCACTGACATGTCAGCTGCATTGCCTTTCTTTTCTCTCTGGGTGCAATTCATAGTGAGAACAGAGGGTACCTGCTGGTCCTCTTTCTCTCTCTTGGCCTGGCTGTTGGCCCCTCGTGTATCCCTTGTGTTGTGGAATCACTTTGTGAGTTAGTGAGTCTCATTCCAAGCCAGCCACTCATTTATCTGCTGCCGATAACTGAATTTTTTTTTTATTAAAAAGTTTTAACAAGTATTACAACAATTTTTCCCATCCCTCCTCACCCCCTTCCCCCCCCCCCCCCCCCCCCCCTCCCCCCACCCCCCCTGGACTTCCCAGAGCAAAAACAGGGTATAGCGTAACAAACATAAGCTAAAATAAGCTAACTTTCTGTAGTCTCCAAACTCCCTCTTGCTTTTTAACTCCCCTTTCAACTAACAAAACATAATTCAAAAAGAAAATATTGGTTTCATTCATAAGCTATTTGAAACTTTTTAGTCCGATATTTGTTTTGAATAAAGTCAATCCATCTTCTCCATTCCGATATATACCTTTCATTTGTATGCTCCTTCAAATACACTGAAATTTTAGCCATCTCTGCTAAGTTCACTACTTTTAGTGTCCATTCTTCAATAGTAGGCAAGTCTTCCTTCTTCCAATACTGCACCACCAAGAGTCTGGCTGCTGATATTAAATTTAAAATCAACTTAGTCTCTATAACAGTACAATCTGTAATTATACCTAACAAAAAGAACTGTGAAGTAAATTTTATCTTCTTTTTGAGAATATTTTGAATAATTCACCATATTTTTATCCAAAATGCCTTAATTTTTTTACACGTCCACCATATATACATCTCCACCCCAGATCACGCCAACGATGCCCTTGCTGTGATGTCCCGTTGCCTGGAGGCCATGCGGATCTGGATGGGGAGAAACAAGCTCAGATTCAACCCCTCCAAGACCGAGTGGCTGTGGCTTCCGGCGTCCCGGTATAGTCAGCTGATACCATCACTGACAATTGAGGATGAGACCTTGCTCCCCACAGAGAGGGCACGCAACTTGGGTGTCCTCCTGGATTCACAGCTATCTTTAGAAGATCATTTGACGGCCGTGGCCAGGGGTGCCTTTTATCAGGTTCTCCTGATCCGCCAGTTGCGTCCCTTTCTGGATCGGGACGCCTTACGCATGGCCACTCATGCCCTAGTCACCTCCAGTATGGACTGCTGTAATGCTCTCTACATGGGGCTCCCCTTGAAAAACACCCGGGGGCTCCAACTGGTCCAGAATATAGCTGCGCGGGTGATTATGGGCGCAGCTCGTTGCGCCCATGTAACACCTCTCCTACGCGAGCTACACTGGCTCCCAGCGGTCTTCCAGGTGCGATTCAAGGTGTTAGTCATCACCCTTAAAGCGCTCCATGGCTTAGGACCTGGGTACCTACGAGACCGTCTTTTGCCACCAATAGCCTCCCACCGACCAGTTCGTTCTCACAGAGAGGGACTACTCAAGGTACCGTCAGTCAAATTATGCTGACTGGCGACTCCCAGGGGGAGGGCCTTCTCTGTGAGGGCTCCAACCCTTTGGAATGAACTGCCCCCTGAGATACGAAATATCCCTGATCTCCGTGCTTTCCGCCGTGCCCTCAAAACCCTGATGTTCCAACAGGCGGGGCTAAACATATGAACATGTGAATGTTTTTAAAATGTTATCTAATTTTAGGTTCTATTTAATTGGGCCAAACTATGTTATAATAATAATTTTAATTAGCAATTTTATGATGTTTGTGTATCTATATTTTTCTTGACTGTACACCGCCTTGAGTCCTACGGGAACTATACTTCTACGGTATAGAAATATAATAAATAAATAAATATATGATAATATGTAGAATCATCACATTCACATCTCCAACACTTAGGTTGCACACTTGGATACATATAGGCTAGCTTTTTAGGATCTAGGTGCCATCTATAAAACATTTTATAAAAATTCTCTCTTAAATTTTGGACTTGCGTAAACTTCACATTTCTAACCCATATTTTTTCCCACGTTTCCATCATTATTGGTTCTTCAATATTTTGTGCCCACTTTATCATACAGTCCTTAACTAACTCCGTTTCTGAATCTATTTCTACCAATGCATTATACAACCTTTTTATATGCATTTGACTTTGATCTCTAATCTGTTTTACCAAGTTCTCCTCATTTTGCAAAATACCAATTTTCTGATCTTCTCTCCATCTAGCTTGCAACTGTACATATTGAAACCATGTTTGAATTATCCTTTCTTCTCTTAGTTGATTCAAAGATTTTAATTGTAGTATACCTCTTTCCTTGTTAAGAAGCTCTTTATATGTAATCACATCTTGTTTTTGCTCTACACTTATATTCTCTATCGCGTGTCTGGGTATTGCCCACATTGGTAACTTCTCGTTTAATTTATATTTATACTTTTTCCAGACACGCAATAAAGCATTCCTTAATATGTGACTTTTAAGTCTTATCCACTTTCTTATCATATAATAAATAAGCATGCCACCCGTAAACCAAATCATATCCCTCAATATTCAATATTCTTTCTTCTGTTGAGTTCATCCAATCACTCATTGCTGATAGGGCAGCTTCCTCATAATATAGTCTTAAATTGGCATTTTGAGGCCTCCTCTTTCACATATATCCTGCATTATTTTTTGTTTTAATATTGGTCTCTTCCCTGCCCAGACAAAATTATTAATACCCTTCTGCCATATCTTCAAATTCTCATCTTTTTAAAGTATTGGTATCATTTGAAAAAGAAACAAAAACTTAGGCAAAACATTCATTTTTACTGCTGCTATTCTTCCTAACAAGGATAATTGTAATTTTTTCCAGTTTTCCAGCTCTCTCTGTATTTTTTGCCATAATGGATCATAATTATGCTTAAATAATTTCGTGTTTGATGTCATGATATAGACCCCTAAATACTTAACTTTTTTTATAATTTCAAATCCTGTTAGTCTTTCTAATTCATCTTTTTGATTTATAGTCATATTTTTAGTTATTATCTTCGTTTTCCCTGCATTTATTTTAAATCCAGATACTTGTCCATATTGATTAATTATGTCCATTAAACCTACAACCGACTGTAATGGTTGGGTTAAAGTAACAACCAAGTCGTCTGCGAATGCTCGTAATCTGTAGTCATACTGCCTAATTTTAATTCCATTTATTTTATCCGACCCACGTATCTTACTTAACAGAAATTCCAAGGTCAAGATAAACAATAATGGAGACAAAGGACATCCTTGTCTTGTTCCTTTTTCTATATTAAAAGTATCTGTTAAACTACCATTAATTATTATTTGCGCTGTTTGTTTCTGATATATTGCCCTAATAGATTGTGTAAAATATTCTCCAAACTGCATCTTTTCTATTATTTTCAATAAGAATTGCCAATTCAATCGATCAAATGCTTTCTCTGCATCAAGAAATATCAGCACCGCAGGGATTTGGTTGTTCTTCCCCAAATATTCCAATAGGTTAACAAATTGCCTTACATTACTCTTCATTTGTCTACCATTTATAAAACCAGTTTGATCATTATGAATCATTTGTTGCATGACTGTCATTACCTATTTGCTAGTATTTTAGCAAAAATCTTGTAATCTGTATTTAAAAGTGATATAGGCCTATAATTTTTTGGCTGGGTTGGTCTTGCTCCTCCTTTGGAACCAGAGAGATATAAGTTGTCC